ATATGTTTTAATTGAAGTGCAGCTTTAAGTATTTGCGTTACCTTATAGATACATGTGACAAATATCAAACGCAACATTTTTGTGGTAATCATATCAAATCCAGGCGATTTAAGTTTTTAAGTTTGGAATTTTTTAATATTTCACTTTTTACTTCTCTGCGTAATGGTAGTAAAATAATGGACATTTCCGATCATGCATTAAGCACATGATTAATTTTTTTACTGTTTCTCAAAGGTCAAAACAAGGATGGAAAGTCTAGAACGTTGTGAACAAAACATTTTTAATAAAATAATCGTTTTTCAACATATAAAAAATTAAAAATAAAAATTTGATTTTAGTTTAGACTCGAAACCCTTAATCCTTGATGAAATTTAAATAAATCGATTTAGAACTATTAACTAAATTTTACGTATTAACAAACATTTGGTGTTAAACCCAAAAGTGTAAATAATTTAACGAAAATGACACATTGTAATATTTAAATCCTTGCCCAATGTATGAAATATTGATATTGATAAAATATCTGTATAAATTGACATATTAAATACATTTACAAATGAAGATTGAAGAAATTGATGTAGACTCTGGACTAAATAGATATTAATGACGCACAACTGGACAACAAAAAATATTTAAAGATGTTATAATACTGGAAAAGCAGGCAGTTGCAACACTAGAAAATTTTGTAAAATTGTAGAATTAAAGTCAATAACTTAATAGACAGCAACAACATCAGCAACGGCAGCAGCAACAGCGGCAACTGTAACAGCAGCAGCGCCAACAGATAAACAGCAACAATGGCGCTTCGCATATCTTTGTAAATTTAAGTAAAGAGAATTTAATTATAAAAACAACTTGTCTTTCTTTGAGTAGTCAACAGGGAAGATCACAACATCAGCTGCATCCTGTGTTTTGAATGGCTTTCATCAATTCTCTTCCTTTAGTGGTCGTTAGACTAGAACCCCAATTTATACGATGATAATGTTTTTGTATAAGTGATACGTATCAATTACACTTTATTGAATGCCTACACAAGATGAGACAGAAAATCAAAAGAACGGCAAAGTAAACAAGAACTGCGTTTGACCAGTTATAAACAAAAATGATACGCTACACAAGGCTCGGCCGATTGGGTATTTAAGATGCGCATTTTTGTTCAGACGGGGATTTGAGAAATGATCACGAAGGCACATACACCTAGATATCACAAGTCTGTATTAGCACTAGCTGCAAATAAAAAATTCCTATATAAAGAAATAATATTCAATCGGAGGAATAACTTTCACTAAAAATTGTTTCGTTCCGATCGGCTGTAGTACGCCTACTGTAAGCGAAATAATTTTGAGTAAAACTAAAAGAATATTTCCATATAAGGATCTATTCAACCGAAGGCATATAATCAGAAATTATATTGCTACGAACTGCTGCAGTACGTTTACAGTAACATATATAATTCAAGGTGAAATACCAAAGAGTACTTCCACATAAGGAAATATTCAACCGAAGTGAACAAAAGAATATTTCGAGATAAAGAAATATTCAAACCAAATTTATAATTATCTTTAATAACAGGTCAGAAGAAACCACAATCGGTACGAGATCTATAGCAAGGGCATCCAAGACAACTACTCTACTTCGGATCGAGTTCGGATTGACTGTATTAATAATATATCCAAATATTTCATTGTTCTTTTTTTGTTTTTAATTATATAATTTTTTTTAACTATAAAATCAGTATAATAAACCATAAATAGATAAAATTAGTTGAGTTGGGTTTTTATTCGCGTAACAGTCACACGTGTTTTGCAGTCGCTTCAATTTAAGTGCAAAAAAGTAAAAAGTATCAAATTTACGGCGCACACAGGGATATTTGACCAATTTAGGCGCCCAAAATTATTTTTGTCTGATTTTTAACTCAAAATGTTATGTAAAGCTACTTCATGACTCCTGAAGTTGCTAAAACAAAAAAATAAACAAAATAATTAATCATGTCTAAAAAAAATACACTGTGTTTGATAAAATGTTGCAAATGTGTGGCAAGCTTCTCCTCTTAATTCAGAATTCGAGTAAGATATTAAAACAAATAAATATTAATTATTATATTATTATAAATATAATTATAAATATTATTATAATAATAAAAAGTATTTCAGTTTTTTAATGTAACGTTTTGGCTAAACATATTCGTATACCTAACAACAGTAAAATTATGATAGAAAGCATGCATTTTTCTGTTCTTACCTTAAAACAATAAGTCTAATTTAAAAAGATTTAAAATATTTAAAAATTTAATATTTCGCTATCTGAGCTAAGTTCATCCTTCTCATTTAAGCAAATTATAGTGTCTTCCAGTTCATTAGTAGGAAGGAGCATTTCTAACGCTTCCTTTGTGAACGGCTTTGATGTTTTTTTGGCTTTGCTCTTAATTTAGTCAGGAGAGGATCTGATAACAGTCTATTTAATATATCTGTATTGCAGGACTCCCGAGAAATTATTCGTGCGTAGTTCTCATGATACAGTCTGAAATGCTTGTTACGTGTTTCTGCCGCTTCTTCTGGCAGTTGTCCTATAGGCAGCAGTGCATTTTTAATAACAATTTCTCC